ATGAGCATTCACACTTTACACCATGGGTGCACTTTGCGGGATTGCGAGAGGTGCTTCGGACCTCAGGGAACTTACCAGTTTGTGTGGGCTGGCCTGCCTCTCAGTGTTTTTCTTTGAGGGCTCACACCCAGCCTCAGTAGCCAAGTTACACTGCTGGGAGGTGGGGCAAGTTGCATAAATAGGGGGAGGAGCCAGCAATAGCCAGGTAGTTGGCTCAGGAGCTTCGCCCACCCCCCAACCCTCCCTTTGTTTAATGTTTCTCATTTACAGGTTAACCCTTTTCTTCCTGTTCAGCGGGCGCTGCTACTGTCTTTTGACTGGCTGCTGTTGAGGAGCTGGGAAGAAATTTTCCTGCATTGGCAGGTTTTGTCTTCCCCATAGCAATTTGTCACAACTTTGGCGGTTTAAGGCGTTGGGCAGAATCCTTTAGCCTTTTCTTCCCTAAAATGCTGGGGGGGGGGGGCAGTTTGAAGTGGTGACTCAGCCCCCTGCAGCGGCGATTCCAGGGTCCTCCTCTTAAAGGGGTTATATATATGGGTGTCATTGGCCATACACTGAAAGGTTGTCAGTGAAGTTACCCTGCGTGCGGGGATATGGGGTGAGCTGCCTGCCTACACACACTGTACATCTTGCAGAGCACCCCCATATCCCATTTACCCTGATGAGCCCCAGTTCCCCTGGCTGGGAGGGATACAAATGCAATGCCTAAGCCAAAGTCTTTCTACAGTTGAGAGTTTAATAAACTGTGGCCAAATTTTAATTCCACAACACGTTGTGATGAGTCATTATTCATTTCTGGGGGCTGGGGCGGTCGCCCCCTGGTCACACAATGCATTCTTGCCACCTAAAGTTTTAAACCCTCCCCCTGTCACCTGGAGAGGGCCAGGGAAACCTGGAAAATTCAGGTCAGCCCTGAGCAGTTTGGTAACCCTAGGGGTTGGGCAATGGGTGTGGATTGGTGCACGGACAGGTGTGCAGGCCTAATTAGACCCATGGGATAGAAGTTCCCCACTGCTGCTCTAAGGGAGAATGTGTCCCAATACAAACATATACCTCAAACTTGCTGAAACACAGACAGAACAAAGTTGGCGAAAGAACATATATTCACTAAGCTACCCAGGCTCTTGTTTGGCCAGTGCAGAGAACCAGCTGGACCTACACAATCATTAAAGAGAGAAGCAAAGCTGAAGATATTTTCTCTTCACTGGAAATTATCCAATCACTCTGTCTTTTAGGACTTTGTTGTAGCCAGGAGCTTTTTCTTTGGAGTGTTATAGTCTTCAAGAAATAGAGTCACAGACAGCCTCAGGGCTCCCTAGCTAAAATTGCTTCCATTTAGGGCTATTTATCAGCAGTTCCACACCATTTTTCAGCCACTCTTTTCAATAGTTCCAGGCCATGCAAATGCTTAGCCAGTTGGAAAAGGGCACCGACCAGTAGCACAGAACAAATGCATAGGGAGAAAGGATTGAAGTGCAGTAGCCTGGGTTGCTATGGGTCTCTTCCTTTCTTCCTTTCTAAAACGTATCCATTTATTTTGCTCCTACCAGCTACGTATAGAAAGGAAAGACAATAAGCATTGGTGGCTTGGATTTATATGGTCCCAAATAAATAGTCTGGATTATACTCTAAGAGTTCAAGTCAGTCCATTTCTGTGTCTGTATTCTAGTCTGCAGTCAACTTGCATATACCTCATGCTCAAAGGTCTGACCTCAGTGAGAAGGAAGCTGGGCAAGAGAGAATGGGAATTCATCAAAACAAGAGCCAGTGATGGCAATTCAGCTTTATTTTCATTTCAGGACAAGATTTAGTAGCATCCAGTAAACACATACTGTATGAGGAGAGGAAGTGGTGGATTAGGGATGGAGGAGAATTTCATTTGATCTGAATTTTGAAGTGAATCAGACTAAATCCTCTTCCACCCCTCTGTTTGCCCTGCTGAATTGGACCAAATAGCAATTGGGTTTTCCATGGATTTCTAATTGTTCTGATTCAGCTGTAAAGAGTGGGTTTTTCAGGGGAAAGCTGTGAGACAAATGCAAAACTGCTTGGACCACACCTAGAAAGTGCAGGACAAGCAGAAAACCACTTGGACCCATGCTTTCTAGGCACGGAGCAAGTAGAAGTGTCAATAAGCCCCAATTCTCACTTCTGTGGACTAATACATGAATTACAATGCTATCACCTTTATGAAACAACACTCCTCCAAATTTTGCAATGCAGTTCTTAGCTCACAAAATGTGTACAAACATATCTTAGGAGGAGATTGAGAACTGCATACTTCGGAGGCCAATGCAATACAAAAAGTGCATTCATAATGCATATTTTAGGGGGAAATAGAGACTGTTCAAGTGCAGCCCCTCATGTTTCTGTATTATTTTAAAACACATAAATGGAATAAATATTAAACATATTCAAAACCAATATGGACTGGAAATAGACGGATATGTTCATCTCTCATAATAATTTGGAGGGTTAATGATGGCATGAGGAGGATAGGAATCCTCTAATCCAGTGGCAGCAGTAGATGATGCATTCCTTGGAAGCTGGATCTGCTGCTCCTGTGAATTCTGCCACCTGAGGTGGTTTCCTCACCTTGCCTCATGGATGGGTCAGCCCTGTGGGAGAGCCCAAGAAAACCATGCAACATAGAAAGATGCAAAGCCTTACACCAGGCAGATCAATCAGTCCATCTAACACTGTTATTGTTTACACTGGCAGTGGCTCTCCAGGATTTCTGAGGAGTGCCCTTTGGTGCCTGGCACCCACTGTGGCTGGTAGGACAAAAATCAAGGAAGCCAGGGAGAGGTGGAGCTAGAGCCAATGACAGGTAGCAGGAGACTCAGGAGGTGGATGCTAACAGGCAGTGCCATCCCACTTCCTGAACAGGTTGTAGGTAAGAAAGCAGGGAAGTGGGAGTCAGTTGAGGGGAGATTGCATTTGGTGGTAAATGGTAAAGGTAAAGGGACCCCTGACCATCAGGTCCAGTTGTGGCCGACTCTGGGGTTGCGGCGCTCATCTCGCTTTATTGGCCAAGGGAGCCAGCATGGCCATGTGGCCAGCATGACTAAGCCGCTTCTGGCGAACCAGAGCAGCACACGGAAACGCCGTTTACCTTCCCGCCAGAGCGGTTCCTATTTATCTACTTGCACTTTGACGTGCTTTCAAACTGCTAGGTTGGCAGGAGCTGGGACCGAGCAACGGGAGCTCACCCCGTCATGGGGATTCAAACCACTGACCTTCTGATCGGCAAGTCCTAGGCTCTGTGGTTTAATCCACAGCACCACCCGCGTCCCGCATTTGGTGGTACAGTGCCCCGTTTGCCCCAGTGAATGAGCCTTCACTGGGAATGCCTCAGCCTGCCTTTCACCGCTCCATAAAGAAGTTTCTGTTCACATTTCATAAACCCAGTCCCCAAATCAGAAGCAATTTGGGAAGTGCTGAAAAGAGGAATGTGAAATGGAAGTGAAGGATTTGAAAGGTCACTATCTGGCAGACAACTGTACTCCTAAAGTGGCTGAGTCTTTTTCCTCTAAAGACCCTTAAATATAGCTTCTCCCATTACTCCTTTCCATGACAGAGGGGATTTAGAAAAAGAGGCAGTGAGCTTTGAGTGGATCATAATGTCTCAGCATTTTTTTTAAAAAAGGAAGCTTTGAAGAGAGTTTGGGAAGTGAAATGGATTAATTTTAGTGCAGGGAGCGAATTCTGGTTTATTTTGATTTCGTTGTTTACTATCAAGAGCAGATCCTGAAGTATGCAATAGGTTCTAAAATAGGTTGCAACACAGAGTTTTGCTGTTTAGAATTTTAGTCCCACTATTCCATTCCCAATTTTTGAACCCACCCCCATGGGCCTCAATAGGCAGTTCTGTTGGAATATTTCAGTTCCATCCCACCAAAACGTATGAGTTGTCATGCTCCAGTGAGTGCCAGTGGCCCCACTCCAACAAGGTAGAAGTCTCTCACAAGAGTACTCACCAACACAGACAGGGTTTCACATGCAACAGAGCCCAAACAAACTAAGCTCCAATGCAGGGAATCAATGTAGTTCCAAAGAAAATCCAGAAGCTGGTCAGGAAACAGTTCAAGGTCAACTTCACAAGGAGTTCAGCTAGATACACCACACCAAGGAGGGAAAACAAGGAGCCAGAGACCTGTGTTGTTTTCAGCAACCAGAAGGCTCAAGAGGCAACACCTAATAAGCTGTAGTCTCCTAGACCATGCCCCAGCTGCAGCTGCAGGCAGTATGGGATTTTCAGGTAGGGATAGAAGGATCTGCCCATTTCTGTTCTCTGAGCTTTTCTTTTTTTCAAGCTTAAATTCAGGTCTCCAAAGTTTTGTAGAAATTTGTATTCTTAAAAAAAGTTTTCATGAAAACTTATTAGCATTTTAGTGTTGATTTACCTTAATGAACACCTTTTTATAAGACTAAGGTGCACATTTTTGCAAACAATTTCTCTTAATATAATAAACTTTTATGTTATTTTCACTAATATCTTCACTTTCATGCACACCTTTCCCTAATATTTGCATTTTCGTAAACATTGGTTGGATAAAAGCATCACAAAATTCAGTGCAAACTTTTAATGGCACTGGTTCCCACTAGACTCTATCCGTTCCTCAAGGTAATCAAGCTATGGAATGTCTGGTTTGTCTTTGAGGATTCAGTGTCTGCAACAAGGTCAAAACTAGGAATGGTGTGAGTTTTATTGGTAAAACCAACTGGTGTTTCGCAACTTTCTGACTAGTTGCAGGACCTTAGCCAGACCTAGCAGAGTGCACGCAGAAGCCACGGAAGCAATTGGCGACTTGGCTGCAGACAGGATAGACGAAGCAGGAACCAGGAACTTGTAGTTAGGTGTTTATTATATACAGTGGACTATTTACAGGAACAGAATACGGATCTTTTGCTAGCTCTCTCATACACGACTCACAACTCCTGCACTGACACACAGAACTCTGAACCTCTGAACTCAGAACACTGAACTACTGAACATTCCAGTTAGTAGGCCATTAATTATCACTCCCTTGAGAGAGCTTGACCAATCAGGGAGCTGTCTCCATGTCTCTGTTATCACCAGGCAGACTTACTCCTTCACATGACCTTCTGGCTGTCTGCCAAACCTTAATTGACTCTGTGTGAGTAGCTGCACGTACACAGTTTCCCAACAAGTTTCCCTAAATATTTTCGTACTTTTCCCAGCCATGTGGTCTACCCCTGTCCCAAAGACTGCCTCTTTTTTGTGCTTGAGTGGTGCTGTTTTGGCTACACTGAATCATAAAATTTTAGAGTTGGAAGGGACCCTGGGGGTCCTCTACTCCAACCCCCTGCAATGCAGGAATCTCATCTAGATCATACATGACAGATGGTTTTCCAGCTGCTGCTTAAAAACTAACCAACAACACTCCCTGCTTCAGTGCTGATAATAATAGGGAATGATTTGTTGGTACAAGACTAAGGATGAATGGGTCTTCTTCCTACTCATAGGGATGGATGGATCAGTTTATTTCTGTCCCCTGCCAAGGTTTCATGTTGCCATTCTTAACTCCATCCTGTCCCATTTCTGCATTAATCTGCATTTTTTTAAAAAACTAAACAAAGATCATATTAAAATACATACATTTTATCACAAAATATATATTCCTAAGGTTTATCTCAATGTATGCATTTCTAAAAATATGTAACCCTAAAATCATGCCTTTTTAAATGCACTTTTGTGGCTAGTTTTAATCAAGAAGTGTATCACAAAATTTGGAGATGTATGAAATCAAAAGACTAATTACATTCTGATGCGCACATTAGTCCGAGAGGTGTAGATGAAGGTCATATTGCACTGGAATTCACAGAAATTGAATTCCTCAAGCATTCCTAAATAGTACTCTCTCCCCTCTCCTCCTTCTGAAGGCATCCTTCTCTAATGTCTGGATGAACAAGGAAGAGGGAGTAGATCATGTGGAAAGAAGCAAGGTAACTAAGCATGGAACGTGTATGGCAGAATGAAACATACGTAAAGAAAAATGCAGGTTGTTTCCTAGCTGTTAACCTGTTTGGACTCTAGTTCATTAAATTAGCAGCAGAAACGTGAGGTGACAGGCTTGGCAGAGAATAGTAAAGGTGTGGTTGCTGTGGGGAAATAATACTCCAGCTGGTAACCTCATTGCTGACTATCATCTGGGGAACCATTTATGCACTGCTAGATTTAGAGATGAAGCCAAGTGTCAATTCCCCTGTTGTTTAGTTTCATCAGACTGGAGTGACATGATTGGGAGGAAGAGCAGGGTGATCTAATCCTCTTTTAAGGCCATCCATGTTACTGGCCTTCACTACTTCTTGTAGGAGCAGATCCCATAGATTAACCAAGTAAATAATGTTTATTGTTATTTTCAAAGTAAGATTCAGAAAGAATACCTCCTGTAACAAAATCTTTCCATTGCACATTGTGGGAGGGGATGGGATTGACAGGTCTTAGACATTGCCTGCTTGCAATTTTAGGCCCTGAAATGGCTTGTGTTAGAAGTTCAAAAGATCAGGCAGCTGAGTAGTGAATCCATAATGTAGAAGTGATGTCCAACCTGTCCATGTTGTTTTCTTTTGATTTCTTGTTTTTCCAACCTTAAGTTCAATTCTCCACTTCACCCTGGCATATATGGTTTTACAGTGGTACCTCGGGTTAAGAACTTAATTCATTCTGGAGGTCTGTTCTTAACCTGAAACTGTTCTTAACCTGAGGTACCACTTTAGCTAATGGGGTCTCCTGCTGCCGCCTTGCGATTTCTGTTCTCATACTGAAGCAAAGTTCTTAACCTGAGGTACTATTTCTGGGTTAGCAGAGCCTGTAACCTGAAGCGTCTGTAACCTGAAGCGTCTGTAGCCTGAGGTACCACTGTATACACATTATTTGGCCGGAAAACTGCATCGCAAATTTGGCAGGATGGCTGAGTTTCAGGTCTTGTATTGTTCCAGAAAGTGCAAAGTACTTAGGTTCACCTATAAATACAATCTGAATCAAATCCCCCCCCCCCCATTCCTATGCATGAAGAATATTGGGAACATACTTTCCAGGGGATTAGCACTTCAGCAACAGGCACGTGTTGAGATGAAGCAACATGTCTTTATTTACCAAGAAGATTTGTGATGTTCGGTGGTAAGTAGCAGCAAGCAAAAAAGCTTTTCCTGGAACTGAAACGGTTCTCTCCTCCCTCCCTCTCTCCACTGCATGGCTCTTCCATTTAATTCCTTCAAATCTGTCGTAATCAGACTGGGTTTTCGCCCATCAGCAGAGAGAATGACGGAAAGAGTGAACAGAAACATCTCGAGCTACTCCACTACTCTCTGATTTCCAAGCATTGCATCAAACTGGCATGAAGCCCCCTGGGAGGAGAAATTTACTATAAGTCATGTCAGGTCCAAGCACATTAGGCTTATGGATATGATAGGCTGAATACTGAAATTACCATTTGCACAAATGATCTTGCCATTCCTACAGGCCTACTGTGTCCCTTTAATACCCCAATCTTTCAATTATGAAGCAGAGATCAGTCAGGGCACTTTGGTAACCGGCTTTTTCATTTGTCTTTTCTTCATACACTTGTATTACTATTCTCATTCCCTCCTCCTCCTCCTCCTCTTCTTTGCCAACTCTGGGAACAATATGTTAAGACCCCCGCTTTCTGCTGCATACACAAATGGGATGGGCATGTGAATGACAGTCCCATTGTATCAGTAAGTAGTTCCTGGTGCCCATTCAGACTGGTTGGGCAGAAGGCAAGGACACACAACAGGAGATGCATTGAGAGCCAAATACAGGCACAGCTAACTAATTCTGATTTAGTCCCCCCCTACCCAGCCACCCCGGCGATGTATTCTACAAAGGTCATGCTGAGTCCAAGAAGGAGAAAAGTGACAAGCAGTGACACTTACTGGAAAGGGTTGTAAATAGGGTTGCCACATTTGTTCTGGTAAAATACAGGCCAGGACCAGGCCAGGCCATGTGGTTGGGTGGCAATTTATTTTTTCATCTGGCGCTGAAGTGACTTCAAAGCAACCCATTGCAATCTACTGCAACCCGCCCCCCTCTCTCTCACACACACACTTGTAAATCTGTTTGTGCTTGGCCACCTAGAGCTTAAATACATGACCTTTCACATACCCTTTCAAACCCATGTATTTGGAGAGGTTCCCTAACTTGGCAGAGAGGGAGAGAGAAGACCTGAAATACAGGACAAAACTGTATCAATATGGGACTAGCATTTTAAATTGGAATACTGGACAATCCTGTATTGTACAGGACAGGTGGCAACCCTAGAAAGCAGATTCAAGTTGGCAGGGCAGACTCTACCGATATCATGTTTGGCCCTTGCTGAGTGACCTTGGGCTGGTGTTCTCCCTCTCTTCCTGTTTCTTCCATCTCAGTCTACATGCTAGAAAGACCCTTGATATATTCAAGTGGAGAATCTCCACCTTGCTTTCTTTTCCAGTTTGGTGACTTAGATTTGGTGATGGGACCTGCCATCATATATTCCACCCCCTTGCCCCAGTTGCATCCACTGACTTTTCTTCCTTACATTAACATGAGATCTCACAACTCAGTGGGCTATCTGTCATTCCTGTGGCTTGACACATCCGGGTAATCTATGCACACCCAAAACCTGCCGTGCATCAATATTTACTAATGGAGCTTCTTGTATGCAGAGGCTGTTTTTGCAATAGAACAGAAAATGAAGAAAGTTCCATGACCTCAGCCAGGCAGCAAACAGAAATCACAGTTATCAAGCATCCTGCATTAAGCTTGGGGTGGAAATAGAAGAAACGATTTAGGGAAACGAAAAGAAGAGATAAGAACGGAAGACAGGGAATATCATTGTTTTCAGTACAAGTAGACTACACAAAGACAGGGAGCTGAGTCAGATCATTACCTATGCTGACCAGCAGCAGTTTCCAAGCAGGTTTCCAAACAGAGGACATAAGAACAGCATGGTGGATGAGACAATGGCCAAGCTAGTCAAACAGACTGTTCTCACAGTGGCCACCTACAAGCAGGACCTGAGTGCAACGTCACTCTTGCTTCTTGTGGGTTTGAGCAACTGATATACAGAAACATTGCTGACTCTGACCCTGGAGGCAAATCGGAGTCATCATTATTGGCCATTGTTGGACTTATCCTCCATGAATCTGTCCAATACTCTTTTATAGCCATCCAACTTGGTGGTCATCATTGCCTCCTGTGGGAGCAAGTTCCACAGTTCAGCTATGTGAAGGGCTTCCCTTTGTTTGTCCTGAATCTTGCAACACGTAGCTTCTTTGAATGGCCCCAGTGGATTATAGTATTATGAGAGAGGCAATTTGTGGAAAGAAGTCCAAGGGGCAGGAGAACGAACAGATGCTATGATTCAAATGGTCTTTTCAGACTGTGCTGTGAGCAGAGGGGAAGAGAAAGCTGCTTTCAAGCAATGTTGGGGGAACCTAATGTTTGCTTTTTGCAAAGTTTAGGCTCTATAATTTCCAGGGCTAAAGAGATTCCTCCAAGTGCTATTCCGTGTAGAGCACATAGGAATGCAGGGACAGAAGAAGCTGTCTGCCAACATTCAGCTTCACTGAATGTCCCTGAGTTCCTGTGTTACGAGAGATGGAGAAAAACTTTCATGTAGCCTTTCCCCCCTTACCATGCCCCCTCTTACTTGTTTTTTCTGTAAACTAAAAAGTCCCAAATGCTACTTTCCCAGACCTACTTGGAGATGCTTGGGGACTAATCTTGGGACCTTCTTCCTGCAACAAAGATTATTTGTCAGACTTCCGGGGGAGGCGCCTCCGGTAATGGCAGAATTCCTCTGACCAGGAGGAATCTGCTCCATGGAAATCTGGGTCTGGCCGCCACGGCGAAGGCGGAGACCTGTTAAAATCACAGGCGGGAGAAGCCTGTGAACGTGGGATTTGGTGGGCACCTTTTGCGCCTCCCCCACTCGTGGGGAACCCCGGTTTTGGGGGCTCCGGAGCGACATGGGGTGAGCGGTGCGGTGCATCGAATCGTCTGCTTCTTCCATGGGGCGAAGCCGCATAGCTGTTGCCGGAGAGCACTGACCTTTTCCTGTGGACAATTTGACTTTAAAGTAATTACCCATGAGTAGAGCTGAAACAGAAGAATTGGATTTCTAAAAGTTTAATTTGGTATCGTAACGGGGAGGTTCAAAACAGGAAGTCCGCCTTCCCCTTTTGTAAATAGACTGAGGCAATGAAGTTGCAAGCTGGAGTCTTGAAAGGTCTTTTGTAAAAGATCAAATTTCCAATGGTAAAGAACATTAAACCCCCTCTTGGAGGCAGGAGAAGAGAGGGGGAAGTTGTGAACTGAGTATGCCTGCGGGAGAGAGCGAAGAGGCTTAAAACACCGCCGCTCTGACCCTGGAAACGGGCTGCTAGTAAAACTGACATTTTTTGGAATGTTCATTGACAGCGCTTAGAACGTTCATTGACAGCTAGCTAAATAAGAGAAATACATTGTTTCTACTGTTTCCGGCTGCTTTAAAAAAGGAGTAAAAGTAACTGAAAATTGAAACTAATTTGAAACTAACTTTGGATTGTTTAAAAGAGGATACTATTGACTTTTACAAATAGAAACTGTTTCCCCCTAGTGGAAGCCTTTGAAACTGGTTGATTTACAAGAGTTGGACTAGGGGAATTTCCAGCTGCAAGTTAAAAACCGTGAGACTCTGGGACTGACCTTGAATCTTTCAAATGTTATGGTAAATGGAAGAGGAAAAACAGACCAGTCAACTGTTGATAAAACATTAAGGTCTGGGAGGACTTGGTAACAATCCAGGAGAGGTCTATTATTAAGCCCTCCTGTTCTTTTTGTTGCTGTCTCTGTACTAGTATATTTGAAACTAAGAGGAATGTCGACAGAAGAGGCTTTGGTGGCGGCATTATATAAGATAAATGACTCATTGGATCAGCTTCACAGGAAAATGGACATGATAAATGCAAAGGTGGATGTTTCAATTGTTGAGGTTGACTTGAATGCAGGGAGTATGGACAATACCAATACAGAAACCACCCAGAAATTGATACAAGAACCTATTTTGATATGGCAAGCTGTGGAGGAAGTCAAGGAAAAAGCTGTTGCTGTTGAAGGTACAGAAACACAACTGGAGAGAAAGAGAAAGAGAGCCCCAGCCCTACAGAGGCAATTTGATGAACATAAGTTGACGCTCGCTATGACTGAATTTAAGGAAAAACAGACGAATTTGAGGATTAGAGTTCACCTTTGGTGGACATGCCCAAGGATTAAGACACTCTGGGAGATGATTCATAACGAAATGAAAAAGGTATTTAAATATACCCTTTTGAAGAAACCAGAGGCCTTTCTCCTGGGCATGGTCGGTCAATTGGTGTTAAAGAAGGATAGAATTTGTCTCATGTATGCAACAATAGCAGCAAGAATACTAATTGTGAAGTACTGGAAGACACAAGATTTATCTATCCGGGAAGAATGGCAGATGAAGTTGATGGACTATATGGAATTGGCGGAAACGACTGGCAGAAATCCGAGACCAGGGAGAAGAGTCGGTGGAAGAAAACTGGAAAAAGTTTAAGACTATGTATAGAAATATTGTAAAATTAATGAATGTTAGAAAAATGTTGGAATGAAGTTATATGGCTTTAGTAGAAATGTTATAAGGAATTAAGTATAAATAGAAATAGAGTATTAAAGGGAAAAATAAGATTAGAATATGTTGAGATAATTATAGGATAGAAAACAGAGGAAGATGGAAAGGAATTGCTGAAACAATTAATAGAAGTGGAATACAGAAAGGGAGGCGTGAGGAGGTCGTGGAAATAAGGGAATGAAAGTTAAGATATTGAAATTGTTTTGTGTTTTAAATGGTTTGCGTCTTGTTTTGTTAATCTTATGTTTTTTCTCTTTTTTTCTTTGCTTTTTCTTTTCCTTTTTTGTTGTTTCTGTTTTATTGTGTTCAAATGGTTGGAAAGTCAATAAATATTATTTAAAAAACACACAAAAAAAAACCAAAGATGATTTGTCGTTGTTCCACATACCTTCCATTTTAAATTGCCACTTTCCCTCCATAAAAAATCCTCCAAACAACAAGGATGCTACCTTATACCATATGGTTTAGGAAAATTTACCTAACCCATCCCACCTCCAAATAAATAAGTTGACAATTAACTGTGTGAATTCCCACCCATTGCAGTAATTCATTCAAAAGATGTACAGTCTTTCATAGAAGCCTGTAGAGGCAAGCTTGGGCACTTCTCCTTTGGAATGGCATCCCCTACACTTCCTCTTCTTTAATTCTCACCTTGAGAACTTGGCTTCACTGCCACTGTCTCGAGTGAGCTGTTGCCTATAAAAAACATGTGCTGGTTAATCTCAAAGGTGCTGCAGCACCTATTATCTTTACAGATGGGGAGCCGAACTTGGCTGCGCCTCTGGAATCACAAGGATTGAAGTTTCTGGGTTGTTATCATGGTGCTTGCCATGCTGTAAACTTTCTTACTTGACTTTTCTTTTTTTTAAAAAACAACAACAGCAACAACTTTGGGTCGGAGAATATATGTATGAATCTGATTCCCTCCATTAAAGGAAGCAATCAAAACTTCGGGGGACTTTCACAAAGGGTAATCTAATCCGGAAGAGGAGTAAGGACAGGAGGAGAAATAGGCACTCAAACATAGCAGCATCACAGAATCCTGTTATGATTTCAGTAGGGAATCCCCCACCCCATTTTAAGCCCATAGTGGATTTGATGAGAACCTCATTTCAGTGAAATTCTCCTGTGCCGTACATCTCTATTTTTCCATTTCATTTTCTCACCTCTTTTTCTTTCCATTCCATTACACATTGCCTTTCTGTCCTCAACCACATCCCCCCCCCCCCCAGCATCTTGGTTGATCCATTTTCTCCTTGGCCTCCAAGCCATTCTGAGTGCAGAAAAAGGAAAGGGGGGGCACTCCACACCTAATCTCTTTTCTCTACTGGATAGCTAATAGCACTGTCATTTGCTTTTCAGCCGTGAAGTTGCTGTCTGACTCAGAATTGCGGTTTGCAGCAATGGTGAGAAACAGGATGCAGAATGGGAGAGAAATAGCCAAGACTACTCACATTGCTATGGCCTTCTTGCAATGTGGGGTGGGGTGACAACCCCATACAGAGGGCTTGAAAGCTGTGGCTGCCACACAGTCTGAGAAAGTCTACCATGTTGAGCATGTGAAAACATTCCCATTGTTCCCTAGGAATCTCCATTTTTTCTACAATGAATGAAAACATTGAAGGGTCCATCTGGTTTAATAGTCTTTCATTCTGGAACAGTAACATAGCATTTGCTCTCACTGAGCCATTCTCAGTGAGGAGATCTGCTGTGCCTTCTTGTTGACATCTGTCTGTCTCAGGAGACAATAGAAGAGTGAGCCTTTGAGGGTGAAGTCAAATTCAAACTTACAACACCTGCTGTAGCTGTAGGGACTTTACACCAATCAGGTTGAGCTTATAACTCACAACTGCTGTCCTAGGCAGCGTGTTTGGAGGTCCTGGGCTGCCTAGGCAACAAAGTCCTCCTCTTGGCCTTACTGTTGTTGACAAAAGGAAAAGAAAGAAGTACATTTGGCACCAACTTGGCCGCAGGCACTGGCGTATGAAGGGGGGGTGGGGGAGCGCGCCGTACCGGGTACCTTTAGGGGGAAGGGTGCTATTGTGGCTGCCCCCCTGGGATGCGCAACCCCACGCCATGCACCACATCCCCTCGGGTTACCCACCCCGCCCCTCAGGACTCACGCCAGCCACCCACCCCCGTCTGTTCTCCACCCCGGGGACTGTAGCATGTTGCTCTGCTACTGGCTGCAGGAGTTGCTGGAAGAAGAGGTACAAGATGCCATCCAACCACCTTTGGCATTCCAGATTTGTGTAGGGTGTAGGGTTTACTCCTTAGCCTTTTCTTCTCCCAAAGATGTCCCATAATTCTGGCTTCTAAACCCACAAGGAACATTTTTCCCGACCTCAAAAGTTTCCAAAATGAACCCTTTTCATGGGAGAGGAGTGGTTCTGTGAAAGTGGGGGTGGTGACTTTTCAGTTTTATTGCGCAACCTCCTACTTTCCTGTACTGTGGCTTCATCAACCTTTATCTCACAACCACAGGGCCATTTCAAAGACTTTGTCAAGTATTTCAGATCACTGCAAGCAACCACACCCCTTTAAATATCTTTGCTTCATTTCCTTAAACACTTCATTGGCTCTGAAGTTTATCAAGAGCATCTGTTAGCAATCTGGAGCAGAGCAGTAATGATGCAGTTAGTGGCACGTTTGGGGAGCATGGCTGACAGCAATCCCATGACTGGAGAAGAAGCTTGTACATGGCATGTTTGGCAGCCTATATAGGTGTTATGACCTTACGGAGTCCAGCACATGAGAGGTAGAAAGAGACCCAGCTCTTTAATTGATTTACCTTCTGAATCACTCTGAGCAAAGTCAAGTTGATTATTTTTTGTCTCTCAAAAAAGTCCAGTAGAATGAACTGGTCTTTATTGTCCCAATGACATATATAGTTTCATTACTTGCTGTTAACAATGAGCCAATGTTTAAGATTGAAGTTGCTTTTCACCACAGAATAAGATTACCACTCATTGAGCCTATCTCCTCAGATATGTGCTCTGTAGATCTTCTGGCAAAATACTTTTGTTGGGTGGCCACTAGGACACACAATATTGACTCCCTGCTAAGAGAAATAACGAGTATATTACACCACCTAGTTTTGCTTGTTTCTAACAAGGACTTAGCCTCTGGGAATCAAATTAACCATAACTATCCCTTAGCCCCAGTAGCAGCTGAAACCATCTTCTCCACTGTCAGGAATGAGCCAGCTCCCAGGGAAGCTTTGAAGCCAATGGAAGAAAGCAGCCGGGAACAGAGAGAGTTAATTTTGATACAGGATGAACAGCAGCTAGTGCCAACTCCCCCACCCCTTGGAATGCCGGGTGATAAGGGAACAGCTGAGAGCTGGTTAGAACCCAGCCAAAGTTCTCAGGAAGTTCAAACTGACGCGAACAGAGACAGAAGTAGTTTGTCAGAAAGGGAGGAGTGAGTAGCTGATCGGAGCTGATCCAATCCCTCCTCAGAATCAGCTAAGGGGAAGGCTGTTAGACCGGAAGCAAGGCAAGAGATGTAAGACATGGAAGTTCTCTATCTTCTGTAGAAACCGGAAGAAGTCTTCAGAAGGGTCATCTTGATTGATGATGTTGGAGGCTGTGTTAGAGCCCGTCCAGAGCTATCTGTTTGTTTTGACAATAAATCATCCTTTTTTATTAACTATGCTTACTGTGTTATCAAGTGGGAACCTGGACTCCTGACATCCACTGATGCTAAGCTATTTAAACCTCCTATAGGTTGTTCCGCTAAAAAATACAGAGAACAACCTACTATTTATTTCATTCTTTCATTCATTCTTTTCCATCTCTCTCTCACTCTCTCTCAGGCTTAGAATTTTGTTAAAGTTCTAGATTAGCCCCCCTCCCCCCGCTGCTTTTATCCACAGGCAACTGGAAGTTTTTCAAGTTCATGGTTTCAATATCCTTAGGCTTAGCTGCTGTGGGACAGGTACTGAAAAAGAACAATCAGGAGATTAAAGCCTGCTCTGGATTGTTCCTGGACAAGCAGGGCTTGCTGACAGCTAGCAAGGCTCACTGGGATGGTCTGAATTACCTAATGCAGTTGACAAGGTTCACTCTCAGTGCCAAACAGCTGGTTGGTGCAAAGATTGATCCCAATTGAAATTGTCACTTGACATCATAAGAGTGCCAGGTGATTGACAAGTGAGCAACCACACTCACCTGTCAATGTTGGCTTGTGGGCCCGGGGGAGGTAAGGTTCCAGTTCTCCATCCCAGCTGAAGTTTTCCCCACTTTGCGTCTTATATCACCCACCACTGTTACACACACCCTGGGAAGGAACATAGACTTTGCACTCAAAAAGGCTCCCCATCATTGAATACTCAACACACATACACACACAAATAAACAAATATATATTGTTATAGGTGCTAAATGTCTGGGCTCAGTAAACACTAGAATTTAATTAGCACTTGTCTGTTCAAATGGGATGTCAGGCCTGTTTGTCTTAAGGTAGAATCATAGAGCTGTAGAATTGGACAGGATCATGAAGCTCATCTAGTTCACCCCATGCAATGCAGAAATCTTTTTACCCAACATGAGGCTCGAACTCACAACCCTGAGATTACGAGTCTCATGCTCTACCAACTAAGCTATCCATTTGTGCATTTGACCTGCGTACTAGAAGCTCCCAATAATTTAATTAGCATGTTGGAAAGCTAATTATGTTGGGCAAACTTCCTAAATTGTGTGTTAGGCACTTCTTAATCCTGGTAAATCAACATGAGTTTAAAGGTAATGGAGTCACCCTAATTTCTTTTGAGGTATTGGCCATTAGTGCATCAAAAGGGTGGCGCCTCTCCAGGAGTTAGAAAAGGCAGAGACAATTAATGCTTAGGGGGGAACAGTGCGATGCAAACGGACAGGAGAAAAATATGGCTTTTTGCTAGTGGAATTGCAAGGCTGCAGTGCAGAGTGGAATACAAACCTATTGGAAAGTGATCCTGCAAGACCTCTCCATCCTAGGCTCAGGTTGTATATATGTGTAAATAAACTGTATATCACAAGGACACCACGGTCTCCACTGTGCCTCATTGTCCAAAAGGAAACATACTTGTTGCCCCTGGAATCTTGCACTGCTTGGAGACTGGGGTGGCATGTAACAATATGTAAAAGTACTACACATTTCTTCACATGTAATGACATTATTTTCCCTTGACTTCTCTGATGTGCTCATAATGAGAGCAGTTAGACCCTTTATGACCAGGGAAATTACATATTATTTCATTTCATTCTTCGTGAAATTTCCATCACCTTATTTCCAGTTCCTCCCTGTTACAGTTAGCGTCTCTGCTGTTTTACTTGCCTATTCATTCTCGCTTGTGTAGCAGGCCTTGTGAAGAGGTATCAGTGGAGGTGGGGAGGGGGGAACATTCATAATGGGTAAATGAAATGGCCCTATTTGCAAGAGGTGCTTTTCTTGTCTCATTTAAATGCAAGCGGTTTGTCCCTGACAGCTGAATGTGGAGAAAAGAAACGACAGAAATTCCAGTGCAATGCCGCCATGCGGAGTCTCAAAAGCTTGAAAATGTTACAGGCAGCCTACTCCTGATCTGGCCTCTCCTGTGAAAAGGAGCACTTGAAAGAAATAAGTGAAACTTGGTTGCTTGAGCAAAAATCCCTAGTCCCTTGCTGTGGAGAGATATTAAGTTGATATGGAGGAGTCATTCATTCAGGTCACATTTTTCATGCAAATCTTCCCAAATTGTGCTTCCTGAACCAATAAAGTGAACTAAAGTTCACACATCTCCAAAATGTGTGATGTAGGTCTTCAACCAAAAGGTATGTGAAAAATGCAAATGTTAACGAACAGAAGGGAAATACGTTTGCAGGCATGTATATATTTGTCCAAATTGCATACAAAAGGACATGTATTAGGATCATCAGCTATTTTAGCTGTTTTTATTGTATGCTTATAAATAACCTTGACAAATATGAAGGTGATTTATAAATTAATAACCACATTTTTTAAAATGAGCAGAATGTGTACTGACTTCTGTGCAGATTATTTTAAAAAGAAAACGAATTGGTTGATGTAAAATGGGACAAACTGAACCTTGAAGCATGAAAAAAAGAGAAATGTGGAAAATCTGAAACAGATTTGTACACCCCTAGATGCCACTGAAGTTTGGGGAGGTGAAGCTTGAAATATGAATTTACTGGCAGTTGAATTTTGATTGTTTTGCAGGTTGAGTTTCCTTCCTCTGGAATTCATATTCCATTCATCCACTAAGTGTTTTAATAGTAAATTTTCAATTAGGAACAAATATTTATCTTACCTATCTTATCTATATTTATCTTACCTCAAAAAATTATGTCACGTTTAAAAAGATTCAGAAAAGGGCAACTAAAATGAACAAGTGGGTGGGCATGAAATAAAAAAACCCTAATGTGCAATAAAATGCTGTTTAGCATTGTTATTAATTTTTAAGTCACACAAAAAAGAGCCAGTATCTTCATTTGTCTCCTTTTTCTGCTGATGTTGATACATATTTAGGGTGAAGAGTGCAGATCCTTAATTCAGGACTGCAGCTCCCATTATCCTTTACCATTGGCTGTACTGGTTGAGGTTGACGGAAACTGGAGTCCATCAACATAAAAAGGATACATTTTGCTGCCCCTGTTGCATACATGATCCACATTTCAGGGCCCGATGGATAGTTCCAAATAGTGGATGAGACTGCAGTTCTATAAAGCATGCACATCTTTCCAATACTAAAGTGAAATACTTTGTGAATGTATATGTCAATTTGGGGCCCATATGGCAAGCATGCCCCAGACTAGGTACCCCAAGGCTGTAGATGGCACAAACTCAGAAGCTGGAAAGAGACATGGGAATAAAATTTAAGAGATAGCCTTTTTGAAGGATTTTGCTTCACCCTCCCCCATTTAATTGACCGATCACATGAATTATAAATCCCACAACATAATGTAACCATAGCAAACATCCACATCTGAGCAACTGAGGGGCTGGCTCCAAGCCCAGGAGCAGGATACCGGCATACAATAGTCATTGTTTAGATCTGGATTTGCTGGGGAACACTATGCTATGCACTGCTGCCTCACAGCTTCTAGTCATTTTCATGGACTTATGCAATGATTCCCTTCTGTTTGCTGGTGATGCTAATCTGATTTCACTGCAGACTCAAGAGAGGAGCTAAATATCAAATCAATCATTATATTTGTACTCCTTTCCCCCCTCTTCTATGGAACTCTAGTTGGCCCACACAGGTCTCCAGCACATATCTCATTCAGGAACTGCTTTTAATGCCTTCAGATCATGTCACTGAATTGACTGGTCCTCCAGTTGAGGGATGGATTGTGATGGGCAAGTAACTTGTCATCACAAATCCAAGGGATAGCCAAATAATCCCACCATAACCTAACGTAATATGAAGTGTGAAGAGAGGGTAAGATAGATAGCCAGTTCTTAAGGTTGAAAACAAATGAAGTTTCACCTGAATTAGACCTGGTGACCTCACCCAATAGACCAATACCAGAACATGAGGGGTGTGCACCAGCTCCATGTATAGCCCAAATTGTGAGATGAATCATGGTGATGTAGGGGAGATCTGAGTCAGACTGCATTATTAACAAGAAGGCTTAAGTCAGATCAGACACAAATTAAGCTTCCATGTCAGTCTAGTCCATTCAGAAAACAGACAACCTGTCCCTGAGAAATAAAATCAAGCTGACTGTGGGAACACCCAGAAATCAAGATGAAAGAGAACAGAGAGCTGGGGGATTCTTTCATTTTGACCAGCAATATATTGTTTTCCCAGGGCACTCCAATTACAGTGATTTGGGAGCAGGACTAAATACTGTGTTATTTTCATCTGGATCTATGCCTTTCCACATGTAAGCCTATTGTATCTCCCAAAAACCACGAGGGGTGGCAGAAGTCCATTGCTCACCCATTATTCTTGAGGTAACAGAGTAATTTGTGAGGAAGATAACATTTCTCCTACCTCAGTATTTATTGAGAACAAGGAATTATTTTCTCTCACCACTAGCATTCCCCAATGCAAGTCAAATGAGAGATCTCTCTCTCCCAGGGAGAAGTCTGTTGGAGGGGCAGAAGCCCACCCACACCAATGATCCTTAAGGTAACAGGTACCTGGGTGGGGGGTGGGGAAGGGTGGCATCTTCCCCACCCCAGGGTTTACTGGGGATTCATGCCCTTTTCAACTCCCCCTCCCTATTATTCTTATGGCACCCATTCCAAAATGTGTTATTGGAGAAGAACCACTACAACCATCATTCCCCTCATTAGGGGTCGCCATGCCTGCAAATTTCATCCATTTCTCAAAGAAAGTGAAGATTGTAGACATTCCCTTTGTTTTGTTTTACTACCACTACTAGTACAATAATAAAAATTACAATAATAATGGTAAAAGTTTAAAAATGTCCTGCACCTAAACAAAACAAAAATACAACCTCGGGTAAATCTACCTACAATTTGGCTATTTTAAATCCACTCTGGAGAAACCACTGTGCCTGCATATTTCATCTACTTCTGTGCTGTGGAAAGGGGGGGAAATAGCTGCATTTAGATTCCTCGTTATAGTGAATTGGGTGTGTTGAGAGATCCGTTTTAATCAACCTGCTTTTTGCTCAAAGTATGGCTTAAGCAATAAACCCTATTATAGTCTTTGCTGCCCAGTCAGATCCAGATCAGGTTGGGAGGGTGGAACCAGGTCTTTTCCTAAGTCCTGAGTGGGAAACCCTTTTCAGCCAGAGTGCCCCCTACCCTTCTGGACCATCATCCAGGGGCCACATGGCAGTGGTGGGCAGGGCCAGATGCAAATGTGGGTGGGTAGAGCTATAAATGTGAATATTATCTTTGTACAGTCAACTAGGTTCTGCACACACTCACACATCCTTCTCTGTCTGCCATCCAGGCAAGCAAGAAGCAATATCAGAGTTCACAAACACATTTGAGAAGGGTGTTTATGGGGAAAGGGTGTGGCCTGATGAGAGTCATGAAGGCAAAATAGAGTGTCTGAAGGGGCTGCATTTGGCCGCTGGGTCTGCAATTCCTCACCCCTATTCTAAACTAAAGAAAGCCAAAAAGCAATCACTCCCAAATTCTCCAAATACTTAAAGCTTTTACTCACAACGAAATCACTTCCAGTTCATTGCCTTTTTCAACGTGTCCCAGTTGCTAGTCCTGAGTGAGCATATTATAGCTTCCCTATATTCTTTGTACAATGACTCTCAAGGTGAATTATAGCTCTGCCCTCTGATACGCTGCTGGGTCATCACTCAAGAACACAACTTGCACTTATGCCAACGGAAATAGATTTTGCCCAGCAGGTAATTAATTTCCTCCGAGCAGTTTCTCACACCCAAAATTGGTCACCGTCTGCTCAATTAGAGGAGGCTTTTCACAAAGGGGAACATAATATGAATCATGGGGATTTCAACTCTGCTACAAAATGCCTGAAACAGTAACCAAGAAAGCATCAAATTGCTATTTGGTGTTGATGACAGCTCACAGATTCTAGATAATATTGAAAAATACAGAATCCTGTGAATCTCAAGGTTTGATAGCCGCTATCATATTTCCCAAAGATAAACTCTTTGTTTAGGAAATGTCTTTGGGTT